CACGACCCATCACCACGTGGACCTGACAGTGTCAGATTTTACCCACTGAAATGAAAAAGCTTTAACAGAAAAAGCTGCAAAGCATCTTTAGTAGAGCTAAAATATATTTATAAAAGTAAGAATTACTGTTGACCTGCTGTGCTGATGCGTCCTCGGCGTAAACTCAGGTTTTCACGCAGGGAAACAAAGTGAGCGCCGTAAAGCAACGATTAAACGTGCCTTTGAGCAAACATCTCGAAGCTTTAAATGCTGTTAGATGCAGAATTCAAAGCACACAGAAAGGAAGGTGCAGCGAGGAGCACACGAAAGAGGAACAAGATTTTTCTTCACATCCTGCAGTCGACTTGACGTGGACATGAATAACAACAGGTCCAAATGCAAACATAGGCCCGGAGTAAACGTCATATGTCCCGTGTTACTACCTGAAGTGTCAACAGAGCACACCTGAGAACAGCTGGGAACCGTAACTGGAGTTACGAGCGGCGAGTTTAAAGGAACCTGAAAAGCTGCTTCCACTTCACGTCCTCAGAGTCAGCAAAAGGACTCCCGAAATCCAACGGCGTGACACTGTGACCAAAATAAAACAGTTTTCTGAAGTGAAACTGGACAATGAAGAGACAAATGCATGACTGCGTCTGATGACAGCAGGATTTTACCTTTTTTTGAAAAACTGGGAATATTGATGATGCAACACTTGCAGTCAGCTTTCACATGTCGCAGAAAGTTTTTATTTCACTCTAATAGTTACTAAATGATAATGAAACAGTTTTAAATGCAGGAAGTTGACAGTTTTAGTGATGACTTTAAAGCCACAGCAGATTTTCCTTCATTCAGTAACATTGTTTTAGTTTATTGGGGTATTTTTGTCTGTTTTTATTATGTTAGTGTTTTATAATCAGCTCTTTATAGAGCTTGTCTGGTCTTGATGGACGCCTGTTTCCAGAATGGTTTGAATTCGCTCCTTCACTTCAGCAAGGTGAGGGAGTCTTTTGGCCGTGTTGACATGAGAGCGTCACACAGGTGCTGCAGACGTGTCCTCTGCACATCCTGTTGTACTGACCTTTGACCTACGATTCTCTGTGAACCCCACAGACTCAGAGCCGACAACCACATCACGTTCAAAGTCACTTCCTTCCACACTCTGATGCGCGGGGTGAACTTCAGCAGGCCGAGTCTACGTGTCTGAACGCTCAGAGTTGCTGTCCTGTGACTGGCTGATGGTTTTGTGGTTCTTTATTTGCTTCCTGCCGCTTTCTCTTACAGCATCCAGTAATTGAGTAAATTTAAAAACCCGTGCAGAGCACCGAGTTACACTAGAGCAGGGATCAGGTTGTGACACCCGTGACCTCCTGTGGATTAGGGTTTTTGGGTGGAGTAGCCTCTGAGATCACATAACAAACAAACAAACAAACAAACAAACAAACAAACAAACAAACAAACAAACAAACAAACAAACAAACAAACAAACTAGCTCCCAGGTAAACCTGCAAGCTTCACTGCTCTCCACACCTGTCAATTCTGAAACCACGCCCCATATTTTTCAGGTGACACCTCATTAGTGACGTAAAAATTTCTGATTCCTTTACACTTTTATTTTGAAACAAGTTAAACTGCCTGCATCATCGCGCTGACAGGTTCCTGAGACTGTGCGGTGACCCTGCGGAGAGGTCGATATGAAGAATAACAGCAATGATCAGATTCCGGCTGCGCCCGAAGGCAACGTGAAACAAGTCTGACTAGTTCTAACTGAGCCAAAGATTCCGAGCAGCGCAAACCCGTCAGAGAGACCGGGCTAGTGACAAAAAAACAAAACAGCGGCTCGGGGTCCTTTACCAGGACGCAGGGGGTCTCAGGGTGAGACAGGATGGGCGGTGAAGTCACCAATCAGCCGCTCGCACTGATGCAGACACTCGTGCAAACTCCTCATCCTCTCTGCGTAAAAAGCCACGGACTGAAGCGAACTCAGACTCACCTTTGCGTCCGGCTCCGCGCGCTCAGCCTCACAGCTCTGAGCTTCCTTAATGAATGAGAGGCAGGGAGAGCGCGTGAGGTGCTCATTTTGGGAATCGTTTACACCCACTTCGTGTCGCAACACGGCAACCTCCCGCTGTTCACGAGCGGATCTACAGCTGATCGCGCGTAAAAATGCCGGGGTCGTGCCAGAGAGTTTCCGATGTTTCTGCGTGTTTTACGTGGAACATCTTTAACTGTATTACTTGTATTAACACACGGTGGTGATGTAGAAATATGACGGAGGCACATATAAAGTTCTGAAGTTCTCTATGATTCTGCGTAATTGTACCCACGCTTCAATCACTGACAGCGTGTTTGTGGAGCTGTGATGTTCCTGCTGCTCTCTCCGTCTGAGCTCTCATCAAAAACACATAAAACAGTTTGTGACCGGAGCTGTTTCTGGACCAAAAGGACTCCACATCACTCACGTTTGACCTGTTCGTGACGGATTACAGGTCAAAAAGTCATTTTTAACAGTTTAACCAACCTCCAGGGTGGAGGCTGGTTAAAAGGGTGGGGGTGAAGCCGGTATGAAACCACCCACACACACACACACACACACACACAGAAATGATTAATTATTGGTGATTTAAAATGAATCCGAGTCACGTGGATCAGTTATCACGCGGAGTGAGGCTCGGATTTATTTGTCAAAATTAACCTTGAACCGGTCGGTGAGTGGGTGGTAATTGGAGGGGGTGGGTGGGTGTCTGAGTGTGGAACGTTTCAGCATAAGACACTCCGAGAGGAGCCGCAGGTGTGGGAACCTCCTCAGAGATATGACACGTTTTTCTCTTTTCTCTCTTTCACGTTTGATGTTCTTAATGTCCTGTTTCTATAACGTTTTATTTATTACATTTTTCTCATATCTCTGCTGAGTTACTGCATACACAGTGCTGTGCAACAGTTTTATTTCTTAATATTTCCAGGAAGAAACAGGAAGAAAGCACCAGCAGAACCAGGCTCAGGGAGGGGGGCATCTGTCACTGGGGGCAAATAGGTCATGAAATCCAACATGCAGTCACCTTTCAGTGGGAGCGCCGGACGAATTCCTCCCGTTCATTTCTCCAGCTTTTCCTGCACAGCTGAACGTCACTGTGAACATCAGTGTTTCTCTGGACGTAGGCAGACGGCAGCATGTGAGTCAAAACGAATTTCAGGAAACTAAAAGCAGTGTTAAGTATCTGAAGCTGTCTGCGACCCCCCCCTCCTTTTGCTTGCCATTTCCTACATGCACAGACTGCAGGCTGGTGACAATTTGGGAATCTCCAGCTCCAGAGGGAGGAGGCCCTTATAAAAGGAACTCACCTGTGGCTAGAGGTGGCTCTCTGCTCCTCGCTGCTAAGGATCATGTGGCACATGTGCTGAGCTGCCCTGGATCTTTTCATTTGTTGTGTAAGGTTTGTGGGGGGGGACCCTGCACATTTCATGCATGTAATGTTTGAGTTTATTTTGTGAGTTGAGGAGTAGCACTTTCTTTTCTTTTGTTTTCCTCTTAGAGTAAACCTCAGCTTAGTTCTGGTTTTTGTCTTTTTGGTGTTTTTCTTTGGCACAACCTTTCTCCCCCACATTGTTGTATGGCTTGGAGACATTGGTTTCTTTGAGGAACAGCCCAAAAAAGCTCTTATCTGCTACAACACTTGTACCGACTTATTGGAGTTGGTGCGTAACAACCAGACTTTGGTTTTACTCTCTGTGGGTTTTATTGTCCAGCAGCCCAAGGAGGCAGATGTTCCCGTCTGACGAGGGTCGAGTGTTCCTCGAGAACGTGAAGAAGTTTGTTCGGTTTTAGTTTAAAATTGACACCTGGAAGCAGCAAATACGATAAAACGGCCGGACTGCTGTCTCTAGGTAAAACAATAACAGCGCTTCATTCCCTCTGGCATACTTCAACTCCATCCAACCACACCTCCGCCTCCCACCACCTCCTCCACTGAGGCGTTCTAGAGCCAGCTGCCACTAGGACACGCCCACAACACCTGAGGTGCCCAGACGCCTGAGCCTGAATGTCCGAGCTTTCCCTGTGATCCCAGCAGGACGGGAGATGGTTATCCTCGAGATGCAGCTACCGACCCACGTGGAGTCAGGCCTGGTGGGCTTCAGGAGCTCGAGCCGAGCTGCCAGAATACAGAAGCGTTAACAGTTTTCCAGCTTTTCTGGAAAAAAGAAATGTTTGACAAGAAAACGAGCAAGAAAAACCTCCTGTGAACCAGCTGACTTATTTCAGTACACAAACGTCACATTTCACCTTGATCCTGTGAATATTTTCAGAGTAAAAGCTCTTAAAGTACACACACCGATATTCCTGCATATATAAAGTTATATACATCTCATCATACATCGGTCAGGTCACAGCTGGAGCTGTCAGGTGACTGTGTGGTGGTGTATGAAGAACGTGACTCACTGATTACTCATCGTTGAGCAGCTCGGTGGTTTCTTCGTCTCGTTTCAGAGAACCTGTCCACTAAATAAACCCAGGAAGTTGCAGAAACCCCGGCTCCACCTGTGCTGCTCGTTATTCTAAGAAGCTCATTTCTTCATCCAAACTTAAGTTGCGCCTTTATTCTTTCTAAACTTTTGCCTGGTGGTGCAACTCGCTCAGCGTTGAGACAGCGAATGTTTCAACACAGCGGCCACAGAATGTTGCGAGGAAACTGAAACCTAAGGCTGGAGCAAATGAACCCGACGACAGGCCGTCTGGGGCCTCCTGAAGGTGCAGAGATCGTGTGAAGGACGAACGATGAAGGACACGAAGTGTTCGGAGTTCAGCGCAGTTCATTTAAGTCTGTTTTCATCAAAGAAATGGGAAGAGGTTCGATTCAAGTGTTTTGTGGCCAAAGAGGTGAAAATGAGGCAGAAAGATCTTACAGGACGGTGATGTTTTCAGATAACTCATCAGTGCTGCGTTCACTTACATCGGGAATAATCAGTAAACTGACTTTCACTGCAAAGTAAGAAACTCTGTGTTCAGACACAGGACGAGTCAGTGCAGAACAGGAAACACTCGTTTATGAGATTTTATAGAAAACATTCACAACAATATTGATTTTGATCATTTTTGTCTTGTGAAGACAAACGAAGCACTTCTAGTTTTTCTTTCTTTAGCTCAGTTTGGAGGCTGAGTAAGAATAGTGCACATTACACTGCAGTTCCTCCGACGCCACTCGAGGCTCCGGCGGTGACGGATTTTACAGACAGCCTGTTCCTCAAAGCTAGGGGGCGTGGCCTCTGTGACTGACAGGCTGCTAGCAGGACTCCCTGGGCCTCTGCAGCGTGTTTGTGCTGTTGAGCCTTTTTTAAATTATTTGAGAACTAATATTTCATGCTAGGCGTTTATTCAGTGTGCTACTCAGCAGGTACCATGCAAGGGCTAGCTTGCCAACAGCGGGTGAACAGGTTAGCAGCCAAAATGGTGACGCTGAGGCCTCAAAACCCAGAAAGTGACATCACAAGCCTTCGTCCATCTTTGATCGAGGAAACAATGCACAGAGCGGGATTCGACTCAAGCACCGACACTGTTAAGTTCATCTGTGGAGCAAACCTCTCTAACCGTGGTGTCCTCTGGTTTACAGGAAGTCTTCGATGTTACTGTTACGTTACAGGAAAGTGAGGTCTGGATGCCGTGGCGTGTCACTCTCCTGGAGCGATGACAGATGCAGTTTGGTGCTGTAGTGTCATTTCTGAGCCACGACGGAGGAAAAGGCTGGTCCAAAAGACACCTTCACCCAACCAGCTGCAGGCCCATCTGTCTGATGCTGCTGAGGTGCACCAACTGTGATGGCACAACACCCTTGCTTGAGGGCACACCGGACTTTCTGCGGTGTTTTTCTTGGGTAATCTAGGAAACTCTGAGCTGACACAATCACTCAGTCACGACTTCAGCACAGCCACATTCAGCACTTCTTCCTTCAGTGACCTCAGAGGTAACCACGCCGGACCACCTGCCTCCATAACCAGCCTATCCTGCTCTGGATGACACCCAGAGAGCTCTGAGGTCTCCCTCTTCTCCTCCTTTGTCCAGACCACATCAGCCTCGCCTCTCTAACCTGAGGCGTCCCTCTGACAGACTCATTTCTAATCCCACCCATCCCAGTCGCTTGGCAACACAAAGGTGTGTCAGAGCACGGCGAGCAGAATGTTCACCGAAGGCCAGCGCACACAAGCACACCGAGTGAAACGATCAGCTGAAAACTCGACTGTACTGTGAGAGTTTATGGGGACTGACTCACTGCCGCCTCATGTGGCCACTAGAGGAACTGCAGGTACTTTGGTTTGGCCTCACCTGTAAATGCAGTGAGCAGCGCCTCAGCGCATCTAACCCGCTGTTTCCACACGAGTATCCATGACGACGGGACAGAAAATCAAAGGCAGAAAATCCAACATTTAATTTCATTTCATGTTTGAGCGAAGCTACAGTAACATAAAGGAAATGTTCATGAGGAGGTAGACTGAGACATCTTCAGCGTCAGCCCGACGCACTTTCAGCACTCAAAAGTTCGATCTGCAGAAATGTCCTTCAGCCCGCTGTGGGCTCCAGTTAAGGCTCCGCCCTCATCGGCGTCTTTGGTACGGCTTCTTGGCTCGCTGCTGTTTCTTGAAGTCGATAAGGCAGTCGGCGGCTTCTGAGATGGGTGTGAAGGACCTGATGGGAGAGTTACTGACCCTGAATGCTGACACTTCCTCCTCGTCATCATCATCATCCCGCAGATCGATGACATCACTGAAAGAATGAAGACAGAGAAGATTTCAGGCGTCTAAAACTTGAGCAAACAGGGTGTAGCAGGAAGATTTCAGGTGTCTTTACAGCTGGACTTCAAACCCAGAGCTGTTTTAAAGGCGCCTTACCCGGGCAGGACTTTGGATCCAGACGGGCCAGCATCTGCAGAAACACAGCGAGGCAGGAAAACGTGACTTTATGAACCCTGATTCAGCGGTGACATCACATCAGCAGGACAACAGCTTTCCCCGTTTCTAGAAACATCCCGACCCCGTGTCCCTGACTTTTAGAAACGGGAACGTTGATAACAGAAGAACAAAACCTGGAGCTTCATCTATAATCAGTCACATCAGAGTCTCAATAATCATCATAACAAAAGACTTTATACCAGAACTATCAAAGTCTCCACTCAGTAACTTCATCTCAGGGTTCAAATGTGTGAGAAAGTTCTTCACGGTGAACCTTCGGGAGGCCAGACTGTTTGATTTAGGACGCCTGTGAAACACGAGGGCTGTAACTGAGTCCTGCTGCTGAAACGTGACGAGCAGCTCATCACTGCTCAGTGAAGCGCGGCTCAGTTTGGTGAATAAGTTAAATAAAGAGATTATAATTTGACTCCATCCCAGTCTGAAGCCTGAGCGCTGAGCTTTGGACACGTTTATCGTGGACATCTGAGACTCATTCCTCGTGTTTTCCTCCCTTTAAGCTCGTTAGACTACACTGCAACAAGGCCAAGGCCGGCGCGGGCCTCGCCTCGGAAAAACAAATTCCAGTGAGAACGGAAACAAAAGACAAAGTCTGACAGCGAGACGCTCCGCTCTGCACGAAGGTCACGGCGAGTTGTCGCTGAAGATGTTTAACTGTGACTCAGACTTTTGGGTTTTCATTTAGCTCCTGTGATCTGCAGAGAGCAGTCGGGACTCTGGCATTTTTCTCCCATCAGGTCCACAGGCGGAGGCTTTTATTTTTGAGCATGCTCCTTCACATGTCACTTGTGTGACCTTTGACCTGTTGACAGTGCTGTCATAAAGAAAAACGAGGAAGCAAAAACAGATATGAGCGTCAGACGCCCTCTGGTGGTCAGCGTGAGGAACTGCAGCCGTCTCAAACAGACCTCTCTGCTGGAAGCTTTGAGCTCACAGGAACGTCTCATCAGTGTTTACTCTATTTTACTTTTTCTTTGTTTTTTATCATCATTGTTTTATTCTGTGTAAGTTAAAGAAAATCACCTAAATAAACTCATAATAATAACAATAATACATACAGCTAATGATCCGACAGTCTTTTCTTTGTCAGCTCGTTTCCACTGAATCAAACGCTCATGCGGAGCCTCAGGCTCTCTGACATCACATCAGCAGCATCACACGATAAATCGATAAATGAGAAGATTTCTTCATCACTGCTCAGAATAAAAAAAACCTTTACTTTACGTATTGAACAGTAAATTCAGCAACGTTCCTGCAGGCTGCTTTATTGGGGGCGTGGCTGTAAAAACATGGCTGCCTCAGACCGTCCAATGACTGTGCTACAAACATGGTGATTTCAAATTTGTTATTCAGCAACTATTAGCAGGTATCTGTGATACAACCATGCAGTCAATTATACATGCTAACAAAGCTAGCTAGCATTAGCCGATAGCTTAGCACTCCGCGCTCTCATCTGAACCTGGCAAATTCTGCCTTCAGGAAAACCCCCTAAAAAACAATGACATCAAATGACAAACCACCGTAATGGGGCTACATCCATCTTTTATATACAGCCTTTGCTTTTTTTTATCATTCAGATTTTTGTGTTTCAGAGGAAGAAAAACAAAGAGCAACAACGATGACGTACCCGAGTCTCTGCTCTCCGTCTGATCCAGAGCCAGCAGCAGATTTCCCCTCTGCAAGATCAGAAAACAACAACTTTTAAACATCTTTAAGTTTCTTTACTGAACTTTTACTCTTTTAACACCAACAGTCGGCACTTTGAATGAAACTCTTCAGCTTTTCAAGCAGCTTCTCTTCTTCGTCACCTGAGCTATGATGTCCCTGTCTGTTGTCTCCTGCTCCGTCTGCTCTGCTTTTAACCAAAAAACAATAAAAACTAAGTTTAGGAATAACAAAACAAAAGCCTGCTGTAATTTAGGATCAACAGGTGTCTGATTTCAAAATAAAAGCTTGCTGCTGTTACACATTTTCCTTGATGTTTCTCCTGGAAAAATGCTACGAACATCCTGCTTCCTGTCAGACTGTCACCTGTGGATCTACACCGCCAAAGCCATCTGGCAAAGGGGGGTGTCAAACATAAGGCCCGGGGTCCAGAGCAGGGCTGCCAGAGGGTCCAATTGGTCCTGTATTTTCATGTTTTACATGTTTTAGTGCTGATAAAGACCTCACCGCTCACACTACAACACAGTAGTAGGGCTGGGCCATATTATACCGTTCACGGTAATATCGGTACAATGTTAGGCAATGATAAGAAAATGAAATATCACGATAGAATGGGAGTAAAACGCGCATGCGCACATGGCCGAAAAAGCACGGTGGTAACGGAGAATGAGAAGGGAGAAGGTGGATCGTTGAGTGAAACGGATGATCCAGAATTGGTTTGTAAAGATGGTCCCACTTCAGTGGTGGTGTTTGTCTGTCACATACCCACCAAAGAACTTTTTTTTTTTTTTGTAGAACATGCAAGCGGCCGTTGTTATTGACTATGTGCACGTTAGCATATGCTACGTCCGGTGCGGAAACTCCTGTGGGGAGCTTTGTTTCCGGTGTCCTATTCGCGCCTGGTTTACGGTCCAAAACAAGTTAAGCAAATGAATGAATCAAGCGGCGATTTACATTTCTATAGATGTCTCGGGCATTTACCCAATATATCTGTAAATGATGTTCATCGACTTGTCGATATTTTTCCCCCGCGCCTCAGAGCAAAAGAGAAAAAGGATTCAAATGTTATATTTCTCAGCTGTCCCTCGTTTATCGCGGGTGTTATGTTCTAAAAATAACCAGCGAGAGGTGAAATCAAGGAGCCAATTTTATTTTTTGACGGTGCAAAACGTTTGGTGGACATCGTGGACATACAGCACTGCACTTCAGAGTCACACTGCTAGCATCGATGCAGCGATTCTGTACTGTACAGGAGAGACGGAGGAGATCGTCTGCAGTGATCAGGACGCAGGACACAATGTGATGTAAAAAAAAAAAAAAGCGCAAACTTGCACTAAAAAAATCTGCGAAACAGCGAGGTGAAAGGTGAACCGCGTTATAGTGAGGGACGACTATAATTTTGAAGGCAAGTCACAACATACCCTTTGTAAATACTAATGTATAGAAACCCTTATCAGCAATCATTCATTTTTTGTGTGGCTTTTTTCACGGTTTGTTAACATGCTGTGTGGGTGTGTACTTGACGAGCTGATCTCGACATAACGGGGAAACATCTGGTTTGACTATTCTTCACCTGTAGTTTGAATGCTGAACATTTGCCTGTTTAAATCATGAGACCAGTCTCTATACAGAGATGCTTCTGCATGTGGACGATGTGTCTTCTGCTGCAGTAATGCAGTTCTGCTTGTGTTGAGTGATGTAAACAACTGATCGATCTAAACGCTTTAAACATCAAAACTGATCATTAGATTTTTATGACACAACAGTGGTGAGTGTTCCCACCTTCTGCTCTTTGTAACTTAACGCCATCTTTCCGTTTTCCAGTTTTGGACATGATTTTGGAGTATATCTTCGCAGTAGCGATTGACCGCAAAGTAAAGCTACCAGAAATGTACAACCCCACATCCGGTCTCAAACCAGGAAGTTAGCGTTTTCTCGTGCACAGGGTCTATTGCCGTATTTGTCGGACTAAGGTGCTCGTAAATCTGGGAGTAATCTGGGTCCTAAACTCCGTCCACTTCAGGTCCCAAAGTCAAACGATCACTGCAGCATCACTGAGAGTTAAAAACTGTCTAAATTCTTTCATCTTTAATAAAACGATCAGCATTGCTGCTTTACCAGGTGTAACTATGAAGTTTAACATCCAGGCATCCATGAAAACAGAGTTTATTACATTTAACGAGTTAGAAGTTAGCAGGAAGTTAACAGAAGTTAGCTCGCTAGTTTCGCTAGTTACCTAAGCATGATATAGCACGTTCTGACTGAGAGATTTCTGAAAAAAATCAAACGTACAGCTCTGCTATCACTTCCAACATAAATGAAGACAGGAAACTAAACAGCAGTGACGTTTGTAGGGTTACTGAAGTTGGGCTAGCTGGTATATAATGATGTGCTACATGATCGCTAGCGACACAGCTATGTTAGCATAAACACAGTGAAGATAGAGGCTGAACGCTAACCTTTTTCCACTCAATAAAAGTTAACGTGAGGGTTCCTGATGGTTAGAGACAAATACAGTCGCATGGCAGGATGCTGTAAACGGACCAAACGTCAGTCAGGAGAACAACTGAGATAATCCATCCACAATACGAGGTTAGTCATTAATATACTGCAACAACATGGGAATAGAGCCGCTGTGATAGAATACAGCATTAATGAATCAATGGTACAGAAGTGGAGGAAGCAAGAAGAATGAGTTTAATAAAGTTTGATTTATCTGACTGCTTTGTTGTCTTATAATCCCGTGCACCTTATGGTCTGAAAAATACATATTTGGCTTTTTATTTGGCACACTGCAGTTTAATGTTGCAAAGCACCTCTTTTTAACTTCAGTGGATATTATACATGGTTATGCTCAGGATATGTCAGCCCATTTCCACTGGAAATGCCTTTTGGTTAAACTTTCAGCAAGGAATTTGCATTTGCACTGTTAAATTTTTATATAGCTTTAATGTACATAAAAAACAGCTGCTTGTTTAAGTGAAAATAAATGGGTGTTTTTTGCGCTAGTAAAGTTGTGGGGCTGTATTTTGTCTCGCATCAATTATATCGTCATTTATAATGCAAATTTTCAAATGTACATCGTGATAAATATTTTTGGCCATATCGCCCTGCTCTGCACAGTGTTTGGTTTTCCATGACTTACTATAGAAATTTAAAAACAAGTGGGTCCAGAGTAAAAACACGAAACCAAACCAAGATGACGAGCTAAAGTTTCACTGAAACGAGCGGCTCAAATGTGCCTGCTCTTTCTTTGTAAACAGATTTGAGTTTACACAGTGAAAAAAAGGCTGATCGCGGTTTGTTGCAGACTAAACTGGTGGACTGTCTAAGCTACAAGCAGACAGGTGTGTGGTTTCAGAGCGTCGCCGGCTTACAGCTGCAGTCTTGGATCCGTGGCGCTGGATGCAGAGCTCGGTGTGTCGGCTGTAGTCCTTCAGAGGCACGGCTCTCTGACAGATGTAGCACTTCTCCTGGTTCCTGTTGGATTAATTTAGAAGAAAGCAGCGAGTCAGGAAACAAAGAGCTCTTGCAGCTAATGTAGACATCACCGCAGACACACCTACCTGCCAACGTCAGCGCCCTCATTTGTGTCTTCGGCGTTCGCTCTGTGTGTTCTCTTCCTCTGAGTCTTCCGTGACACTAAAGAGGAGAACAAATCTCCGACTGAAACCACAAATCAAACCACAAAATGCCACATCTGACTCTCACCGGTGACTCATGTTGTAATTCCCAGTTTGGCCTGAGGGTGGCAGCGTTTTGTCACTGTTAGGTTTAAAATTGGACACACTGATACAGAAAAGCATCCAACTAGCTTCAATGTGAAGGTTTGGAATAAAAAAATCTTGAGAGAACTGATTTTCTACCTGTGAATTACTCCGATAATCTAACGCCCACGCTCGCCACGCCCGAGTTTGACACAGCCTGAACTCCGATTTCATTCAAAACGTGAAGCACTGTGTTCTTTATATATTTGGCTGACGCAGAATGAATCATCATTTAAAACCATCACACAGGACGAGTGTGACTGCACAGTGCAGCTTCCAGCAGATCGGCTCGGATATACGAGACGCAGCACAGAGGAAAGGTTTTGCTTCTGAATATGTCCGAAAGATTTCCACGATGACGACAAACCAAAACAAACGTCCCGATCATGGAAGCTCGGGTTTATGATCGCAGCTTGCTGAACAACAGTGGAACTTCACTATTATATAAAAGCTTCTTTATTCTATGATTTATTTCATTTCTATTACTCCTTCATTCCTTCTTTTTTCCTATTATGTAACTTATGTTACTGAGTTACTCTGTGGCTGCTGTAAGACAAAATAAACCATCCTCTGTCATCTACAGTGCATGTGTGACAGTTAAAGCATCTTTCCGATCTATGAACCTTCAGCAGTGTTTTATCATTTTGTTCTTTGACGTCTTTGTTGTTTTTCTTCTTCTGTGTTTTCTTTCATCGCAGATTTCTCTGAGCTGTTCTTGTTTCTCCTTTTTCGAGCCGCTCGCTGCGTTTGAACGATTAAAGTTCCTGATGAACTCTGCGGATTTTTAAAAAAAACAACTCACCTTGTATGTAGTCGACCTTGGGCCTCCTCTCCTCCACGACTGCTACCTCGCCGTCGCAGTACGCGGCGTGCATCTCGATCCTGCTCGCGGGGAAGGACGCTTGGCAGAGCGGGCAGTCGACGGCGGTCTCGGGGCTGCGGGGGACGACGGCCGGCTCCGGCGCTTGGTCCTTTATCTCCTCCACATCTGGATCCCCTCCGTCCTCCTGCACCTCCTCCCTGCTCGCAGGCTGACCGGCGCCGCCCTCGCTGCTCCTGACGGGGACGTCCGCCTCCATCTGTTCACCTGTTGGAGCTGAGGATAAATGACAGCTTCAGCTTCTTAAACACGCAGCATGGAGGGTGAAAATGAAGCTTTTCTGTCTGATTACCGTCGGCCTCCACCTCCTCCACCTGTGGCTCGCTCCTGGAGGGAGGATCAGCGTGAAGGATCATCTGAATCTCCGGAGTTTTAGCTGCAGGCTGCGGACAAACTTTTCACATTATTTCAGCACTTTAACACATTATTTACTGACTGCTGCCACACACAAACCCACCCAGCACCTCCACCTGCTGCTTGTACAGTTCAGGGTCTCGTGTCTCTGAGGAAGAGAACATGCAGAGGTGGTGCTGACCTGTGGACTTGAACCTAGAACATCCACAACGTGACGCATCAGTGCTAACCACTGCAGCACCGTGCTGCCCTGGAAACTCAGGACCAGTTCCTGTCAGAGTCGGCCAATCAGCTTTAACGCAGTTAGATCAGAACACATGAGCTCAGATATAAAGGATGAACACACACACACACACACACACACACACACACACACACACACACACACACACACGGCGACGTTCATCAATGAAATCGTCACTGTGACGGTGCTGCAGGTATCTTCTCTAACACCATCCATTTACTAGCAGACAAGCTCCACACTCTTATTTTGAAAGTCTAGTTGCTGCTAATCAGTTGAAAGCAGTCCTTCCTGTCAGACTCAAACTCCACCGTGATGGAGAGGAGCCGCTGACGGCGGTCCCAGTCTGCTCTGCAGGTCCTGCACGCGACGAACCGGAGGCTGAGCAGAGCGAGGACCGCCAGCTGCTCCCGGGTGGAGGAGGAGTCAGTTGGGACCTGCAGTTAACCTCCTGACTTCCTGTCTGCGAGTTTCTCCCGCACACCTGAGCAGACTCACCTGATCTTCTGCGTCACACACCAGCGTCACGTCCTGACTGCTGTCGCCGCTCAGCTGCGTCTCTGAGGTCACATGAAGAATAACGTTATTGGAAAACACAGATAATAAAAACACACAAACATATCACAGCATCGTTGTTCACTCCTCTCACTGCATTCAGGTCCTTTACACTCACATCAGCCTCGGCGTCTCAACTTCCTGATTAGAGACAATCTGATGAGTTTCTTCTAGTCTGAAGAAAAACGTTGAACTCAGGCTCAGGCGTGAGGACAGCGGAGACAAAATCCTTACCTGGACAAACCTCACAGTCCTCAGCGTCCATCGGTTCTTCGTCTCCATCCTTCTTCCCGTCCTCCTCTTTGTTTTCCGTCTTCGTTTGCTCCTCTTCCTCCTCCTTCTCCTCCGTTGTCGGAGTATCAGCAGCTTCATCCTGAGTTTTGCTCCTCAGCCTGAGACCTCGTCTGAAAGCCAGTTTGAACAAATCGAACGTTCCTCGTCAGATCAGACGGAAATCTCCTTTAACCTCCAAACACGAAGCAGACGCCGCTTCACGGCCGAGAGCAGAGTTTTACCTGCGAGCGGCGTGACGCTGAGGCGATCCAGCGGGCAACTCGTGCGACGGCGATTCCTAAAAACATCACACGTGTTCAAACATCTGGAACAGAAGCAAACAAACGTAATCTTCTGAGACATTTTTGTACCTCCGTTTGCGGCAGGACGGCCTCGCCCCACTCCGCCTTCCTCAGCAGACGCCGCTGAGCCCGTTTCAGAGTCTTCTCGTAAACCTCCATCTGAGCCACGATCACCTGAGCGGCGACAGGAAGGACGAGTGAACACACGCTTATGATACTCGGGTCAACATTCTCCGTCACACACGCATCACGTTACTGATTTCACAGTGACTCAGATTTGATTTTGACATTTTTAAGAATAAAAACAAACAAATTTATTTTACACAATAAAATAAATTTGAAACAATCCCTGGACTTCATTAAAGCTGCTTTGCATGATTTACAGCTGAAAATAATCCTTCTTTATCCTAAACAGGGGCTTCTGCAGCCTCTCGGCTCATCCTCTGTCTCCGCCTTTTATGACTTTGTTCTGATTGGCTGTCCCTCGTAAACAGCAGGTGGCGGGGCTTCTCTGACTGACAATAGCCATACCCCCCCTCTGTGACATCATAAAGTTCCACAAGTAGAAAAAAAACTGTGTAAACATTTCAGGGATTATTTGTAGACACGCTGACTTCACATTTGAAACGTCGGCCATGTTGACTTCTGTCACATCTAAGACCAAAACTACATTTAATTACTGAAAGAGTCACTAATTATTTTTGCAGAATTTCATGCATGAAGTAAAAGACAGCAGCGAAGCCTCGTCCTGATGTCAGAACCATGATGTGCTGTAAACGTGTAAACGAGTCCGTTATAAATTATCGTAATCTGTAGCGTGACCACCTGCGTGTACGTGTCTGGGTCGAGGCCTCGCGGGCAGAAGGGAACGCCCCAGTAGTAGTGAACCGTGGTGGAGTCGGCGGACTCTCCAGAGCCGACAGAGGAGAGCGTCCTGCTGCGATCAGGCCGCGGCTCCTCTGTGCCGGACTTGGAAGAAGTTTCAGGCGAAGTTTGTCTGTTGGAGCTGCTCTGAGGACGCAGGCTGCAAACAGACAGAGAGAAGACGGAAACTGGTTTGCATGATTCGTTCGGCAGCAGGACTTCACTGTCCTGTCTGTGTGTGCACAAACGTTACAGCTGGATTCAAGTAACGTGCACAAAACCCACAGACACGTGTTTACTGACTGTATTCAGGCCACGCCTTCTTTGTTTCTAAGGAAACACTTCCATCTATCTGTCCGTTCAAGCAAAGCTTCCCAGTCCCTCTCGGGGGACCTCAGGGTATTTCTAGGCCATGAAAGACTTATAACATCGCCCAGCTGGATCTGCCTGGATAACCTCGACAGGGAGGAGGCGCTGGGACGAGCATGAACCACCTCAGGTGACTGAGGGTGGGTGTAACGTAGGCTGTGAGACCGGTGAATGTTATTTCAGGGTTGAAAAAGAGAAACAGGTGAACATCCCGCTCCCCTCATCTTTTACTCACCAGAGTCTCGTGAGCCTGACAGCTGACACGTGAGGTTTCGTACCTGCAGTTTGATCCAGTCGCCCCTGAAGCAGCAGCCACGTGGTTCAGGGAGGCCGCCGGGCTCTCCGCCTGATGAACTGACGTCTCCTCTGGGAAGACGGGGCTGGGAGAGCCGGTCGGCTGCAGGAAAAACAAAAAAGCAAAAAACGACATTTTTAAGATGATGTGACAGAGATGAAGACATCGCCCCGTCTTCATCTGCAGTCTGTGTGGACGAGCTGAGCTGTGTTCTTGTAGTAAAATGATCAGCTGTGTACCGTGACGTCCTCGTCCCCGTCAGACCAGACTAGCGTCATATCGCTGGTCAGCTGACTCTCGGCCGGGTTCGGGGCTTTGGCCCGCCCGCTCAGCTCGTCTGCATCGAGGAAATCCAGAATAAAAACACCGTCAATAAAAACAGACACAGTCCACACAGTCCGAAAGCAGAGCGAGCGACCTTCCTACCTGACTCGGACGCTTTCAGCCCGTCCAATCGACTCTGACCGTCCTGCAATAAAGAGCAACGAAAATAGAGAAAAGAGTCTGAAAAGTCACATAAACATCAAATAACTGAGTGCCCAGTGTGGACCAGTGAGGCACACGATCGAGCGTCTCATCGTGACGCTTTCAGAGAATCCACGTAAATGTATCGAGCGTTCGGCTTTCTGGGGGAAAGCGCGCTCTGACCCTGCATGCAGCACTGCGACCTCTGAGCTCACCTTCCTGTTGGCTGGAGGACTCTCGCACCTCTGCTGCTGCAGTCCGAAAACGGGGCTCTCGGAGTGGGCGTGGCTCGGCTCGGCCTGTCCTCTATTGGGACTTTCTGGGAATGCTAACCGTTCTGATGGAGGAATGCCGGGGCTTCGTGGGAACACGGGGGACGTGGGTTTCACGGAGGGGGTTAAACTGTCCTGAGAAGAAAACGTGAATCCTGAGTTTTCACCGTCTTGGCTGCGCATGGCGTCTCGGGGTCTGCGGGCGCTCGGCGACCTCTCGTGCTGAGCGTTCCTGCCAAACACGGGGCTTTTAGCGCACTCGGGGCTCGGCTCAATCTCGTCGCTGTTGTCGGGATCTGTGCCAGACAGGGCGGGGCTTTTGGGACATGAGGCGACGTCACTTTTAGGGAACGTCGGGCTCTCGGGACGACGGGACTTTTGGGTGGCGTTCGAACCATTCTGAGAGCACAGCACGAACCCGGAGCTCCTGCAGGTGTCCAGCAGGTCCTGGCTCAGCCGGCCAATGCGGACCTCCGCCCGGCAGCCCGTCAGTGGAAAGACGGGAGACTGATGCAGCTGTGAGTCCTGGATCTGCGTGGAGTCGGAGCTCTGGGAGGAAACAAAGAGATGAACCTTTAAACGACTTTTCTGACGCACGTTTTCCTGCAGATCGCAGACGATGACGAACCTGCGGCGAGTCGGGGAGAGCCGGCAGAGACTCGGAGCTGCAGGGAGACGCCTGAGAGTAGACCTGAGTCTGCGACAAGTCTGGCATCTCCGGCAGAGGACTCCCCGCTTTCCTCTTCCTCTTTAAATTCCCGTTGTCACCGTCTCCAGATCCTGCTGGAACAAAGAAACAGTGCTTTTCATATTTATTTCCTGGTGTGAAGTCTGACCTCAGATGGACGCCGGTGTTACCTTGAAGGCAGCCGTCCTCTGAGGCTCCTCGATCGATGGCGAGCGTTGTCTTCCCGTTCGAGTACGCTAGTTTGCGGCGGGAGCAGAGCCTGAGGGAAACGTCGGCGGGCTGAGATGGACTCTTGGGGGTCCGGCATGCCTGCGTCTGGCCGACCATCTGTGAGAGGAAAAGCAGGAACATCTTTCTCTGCATTCATTTGTCTGTTCGCTCTGATTTGTTTATTTACTAAGATTAGCATTGTAATCTGTGCTGTTCTGTAGCTTTTAGCTAACTTTAAAGAACATGAATGAAACTCTCAGAAGCGCATAAAAGTAAACCATGCTAATGTCAGGATTCACGCAGATCTGTAACATCGTCTTAGAGAAGAAGAGCGGGCGCTCTGCAGAGAGGCCCTGATTGGTGCAAACTGCCATCAGCTGCTGATCGACAGGTAAACAGGACAGAAATAAAACCCAGATGCGTGCACGCCTGCTCCAGCTCTGTACTCACGCTCTCCTTGATGGCCCTCATCATGGCCTCCTCCTCCTCTTGCTGCCGTCTGAGTGCCGTGGCGCTCGCTTCCTGTTCGCTCAGGCGCAGAGCCAAGTCCATCATCTCCTCCTCGGACATCTCTGCAAACACACACACAGAGCTTCATCACCAAAGTCCTGCTTACACCCTCAAAATGAAACAGGTTCAGCAGTTCTTGAACCTCCCGAAATGCCCTGATTCCACCTCCATGCTTCTGCACCTTTAGGTTTGGATTTGCTCTCCCTCTGCCGTTTCTCCCTCGCCATTGACGTGGCGAGCAGCGACGCCGAGAGCTCGTCCTGCAGAGACAAAAAAGGACAAACAGTTCTGATGTTGTTTTTCATGCGGCTGCCAGATTATCAGTCAGATTTTACTGATCCTGGTTCCACGAGAGCGACCTCATGTTCATTCAGGACGCTCGCGTTTCTTCACCTGCTCGTCTGCAGCTTCGTCCTCCTGCGAGTCCTCCTCCTTCTGGTTCTCAGAGGCCACGTCGATGAGCTTTTGCTTCCTCAGCGCCATCTTGCTCTATTCCTGAGTAACTGCAGCCAGCAGACACACAAAACTCTAAATAATAAACCAACCAGCCGTAAAATCATTGAGTTAAAGTTATTAGTAATCATCTTTAGATCCACTGCTTCCATAAACACGTAATAAAACATGTGACTGCCAAGCTCCAAACAGGGTTTTATTAACACGTCGTTTCTGATCTCAAATATCACCACAGTCCGTAACATTAGGATCCACCCAACCATTGTCTTCTGCTCCAATCATCATTGGATTGGTGAAGTCGATAATTGGTCGGATCACTTCATCCTCCAGCACAGTCCGAACTCTCTGAGGAATCTTCAGAAATGATTCTCCAAGCGTCCTGAGGGACATTCAAAGCTCTTCTTTGGATGTTTCTGTTTTTTGTCCTGTTCTCCATCAGAATGATCTCACTCTGCTTCAGGGATGTTGAGGTCCGGGCTCTGTCGAGGCCAATCTGTGACTGATGGTGTTCCTCAGGCTTCTCCTGCACTGGCAGTGTGTTTGGCATCAGCCTCATGCTGAAAAACGAAGCTGCTGCCAGTCAGATGTTTCCAGACGGTACTGATGGCGTGTGGAAATCTGACCGCACTTTCATAGAGTTGATAATTCAGTTTCGATGAGATCAACACACTGATTGAAGGACAGCAGAGACCACGACACAGCCTCCACCATGTTTTACAGACGGCTGTAGACACTCGCTGTTGTAGCTCCCTCCTGACCTCCTCCACACATTCGGACCATGATTTTGATTGGTTGCTCTACCAGACCTGTGTCCATTAATGTTAAATCCAGTTCAGGTGTGATGAGGCATACCTGTTTCCCTTCTTTAAGAATGGCTTCCTGAGAGCCATCCTTCCCCTGAGACCACTCCTGATGAGGCTTCAGTGAACTCTCAGGTCTTCTCTCTGAAGGACATGACTGTCACCTGCTGTTAACACCTCTCACTTCTTCTGTCCTCCACTCGTCTAGCTTCCTCCTCTTTGTTAAAAACACACAGCACACCATGCTGAGATATACCTAGTTTCAGCTAATAGATCTTTGGGAATCACCTTCCTGGTTCAAACATACTTTCCATACCCCAAACTTTGTTTTTTCTTTCCACATTTTTTGATTTTAAATGTAAAGAAAAGTCCCCAATGGAGTAAAATCCCAAATAATTATGAGTGGTGGCTCAAGACTTTTGCACAGCAGCTGAGAAAACAAGCATGAATGTGTGATACGAGTCTGAAGTTTGCTTTGATGGTCACGATTAAATAATTTAAGTTTGTGATTGCTCAGCGGGATTATTTAAAGGGTCAGTTCACCCCCAAAACACGAAGCTTTAATCCTTCGAACCGCTTGTTTCCGTCTTTAATAACAAACAGCAGAATGAATGACAGCCCTCAGGCCACGCCTACTACCTGCTTCACCTGATGATGGTGGGTCTCCTCCTCCTCTTCTCCTCCCTCCTCTCATCTGTCCTGCGGTGGGGCCTGAACAAACTGCCCTCTGCGTTAACACAAAGACAAACAGAGGCGCGTGAGCGGCCTGAAACATCGCACACTGGACGTAACGTTAGCTCACACGGCGCGAGGGCAGCGGTTGATATGGAAACAAGCTGACCACACGAGTCAGCGAAAAGAGGCCGTTAAAAGTTGGCGCTTTTCGGTTTTCCCGCAACTAAAGCGTGACGCTAGAGAGCGGGTCGGCCTGCCGCTCCTGCCCGGCACTCCGAGCGGCTGAGGCGGCGGTTGAAGGCCAGCGCTCCGCTCACAAACACTCACCCAGCACTTTTCCTTACTTTCGCGGCGCCATGTTTGTTTCTGTCCACCTCGTCATGTGACTGCGACGTCGGCGGGGCCGCCGCTGTCCACGATGCCTTCACGGACTGTCGGTGAACACAGATTCCTCACCTCGTGTTCCTGATGTCAGAATTCTAATTAGAGTTGATTTGTGACAATAAATGAATTAACAATAAATAAATAAATATAACATAAAAAGAAGAAAAATGTATATTAAAATTAAAATGAGTGTCTGTTTGTCTGTTCGCAAGATGAAATGCTTGATAAACTCTTGAACTTCCCCTTAAACCTGTAAAAATTAACTTTCATTTCTTGGTAACCAGCTTCAGTTACTGGGCGTGGTCCTTACAGTTTTTATGATCGCCACCATCCTTCATCTAATCATGGAGACGCGAAAAAACCGCAGAGACTATAGAGAATATTTTGTAAGGGGTGAACACTTAAAGCTGAAAGAGCTGAAATCGAAAGCTCGACATTCCTACCTGGATACGAAAAGGAAAAAATACCTGTTCAAAAATAAAAAATACATCCCTCCGTACCCCCGGCCGGAGTTTCACGTGTCTCATGTGAAACACGACACAGAGAGAGGGTCACTGTGCTGGATCTCGAAGGATGGAGGCTTCAAGGATCCACACGGAGGCGTCAAGGACCCTGAAGAGCCGTCCCTGGTGTGGTGGAGTCTGGCTGTTGGACCAGAGGAGATCCGGTCAGCTGAGAGGAGGCTCCTGAAGAAGACCTTCCCATACCGGACCAAGGAGCAGGCCCGGAGGCAGCAGAGGTTCCTGTGGAAGTTCGCCTCCTCTCCAGCCTTCAGTGAGAAGTCCAGGTATGGATCGTACCGCTTCACCTTCAGGGTGGAGGAGGTGCTGGAGGCCTACAGCGAGCAGGTACGGACTCCTTCAGTTTAAATTTGAAACACTTACTAACCTTTGATAATGCTGTTTTATTACAGCAGACACTGATGAGACGCCTGCTGACTCATTACAAACTGAATTTTATTTATTCACAAGTGTTCAGTTCATCCAGCACACAGCCCCTCAAAACTCTGCTGACCACGTTATTGCAGTTAAAAAAAATTGATTTAGTTTAGACTTTTTTGTTTTTAAATCATTTCAGTTTCAGGAAGTCTCCAGTTCAGTTTGCTGGTCTCAGTTTAGTTTTTATAGTTTAAAAATGTTTCGTTTTCATTTAGTTTTATTAGTTTCGGTCTCAGTTTTAGTCTTTGTGACTCATTATTGTATTTATTGAAAAGACCAGAGAAGATGTAATTTATCTGCATAGATATTCAAATATGAGGAGAAGCCTCATAAAAACTTCCATCTGACCTGATCAGGCAGTTTGTGATTTTACCAGAATATTAAACCATGAAACAAAAACATTTCCTTTGTAAATTAATTTTACTTTAGTTTTTCATGTTCATTAAATTTCATTTCGTTCAGTTTCAGTTTGTTGTATATAAGGTCTAATTTTGGTGTAGTTTTATTACCGTGTAATAACCTCGGTGTAGAGGTGAGTAAACGTCTTCCTTACATTTTGCTTCCAACAGCCAGACTTGATTGTGATATCTGAAGAGTCCTACAGATTTCCTGAAGCCTTTTCAGAGCTTTTATTTAGACATTGGCTGCTTTTTCACTCATTCTCAGTCTGGTCCTTGTACCTGACCACAAAGCACCAAACACATGGGAGGAACCAGTGCTGCAAAGATAAGTCTGTGACCAGCCTTTCACGAAACAGTCTGACACCAACAAAGAGCTCTAAGTTGAGCACTTGTCACATCTCTGCGTGGTGTTCCCTCCACTGAAACCTGTTTATTTGTCTCCAGTTTTGCTTCGGTGCTCCACCCGTCTTGCGAGTGTTCAAGACCTCCCTGTACAAACAGGAAGTGGTGTATACTGTGCTGGTCCACAGACCGCACGATGACGGGCGCTTCTCCGAGTACCCCGAGCTTCCCGATGACGACCCGAACGCCGTCTGTGCTTACAGACGAGAAGAAAACATCTTCATCTGGAGACCAGAGGCCATGTGTGGGACACACTGGTAAGAAACACATAAAGATTTCCATGGAGTCCACCGAACCACACACTCACTGCCAGTTTATTAGATACACCTTCTCAAACATCTGAGCAGCAGCTCAGTGCATGTAGACATGTAGACGTGATCAAAACGACTGAAGCTGAGCATCAGGATGGGAGGGGGAAGGTCTGACCCAGAGTGTTTCAGGAGCTGCTCATCTGCTGGGAGTTTCCCAGACAGCCGTCCTCACACGACCACACTGTGCCATCTTCTGATTGGCTGCTTCCAGCAGGGTAACACGCCATGTCACACAGGCCAGATCATCTCAAACTGGTTTACTGAACACCAGTGTTTGTATATGATGTCATGCCACTCCAAGTTTAAACACATTTAAAAAACAGCTGCTAGATTCAGAATCAGCTGATTTGTCTGTAATTTGTAAAATAACTTTATTATCGTTAATGAAACTTACTAACACATAGACTCACGGTGAGAAGATGGTGGTGAAAGGAGGACCTAGTTCCTGAGCCACAGACAGTACACGGGTCCAGTTTTACTGTGATGTAGTTCAGAGTTAGTGAGAGACAAACACTGATGCTGAACAAAAACCAGGCGGTGACTTCAGGACACTCAGAGTGTCTTTACACTTCAGCGCTGACCTGAGCAGCGTCAGTGAGGCGCAGTGATGCAGTTTAACCTCTGTGGGCTGATTCAGATGCTGCTTCCTCTCAGGTATGAGCTGGACTACAGACCTGAGGACAACCTGATGGAAGCCTGGGAGCTGGATGATTGCCCACAGTATTATGTTTGGGATCACGTCGCCCTCGCCCTGCATGTGGAGAGCGGACAGGTACGTTCACTCAGATCTTCACGTCGAGCATTGCTACAAATCCAGCTGCACAGACGTGTTAATTATCCTCTGTTTCTTTTTCAGGTGCTGAAGTTCGACTCCGATCGACTGAGACAGAACCTCAAGTTCTGTGAGCGAGACGACGTGACCATCGCACCGAAATTCTACTTTGATGATTGTGAGGAAGCTCAGAGCGTTATCGAAAGTCTGTGGCCCGAGTCGTCACTGGAGAAGAACTTTGCAGGTAATAAATCAATAAAACTCTCAGTTACAAACCTTAAAGTTATATGACAGAAACTCAACTCCACATAGTTTTTATTACGTCAGGCAGCCTGTTTATTTCTGCTGGAACATTTTACCATTGGAGTCTATGGGGACTGAACCAGCCTCTAGTGGTCGCTAGAGGAACTGCAGTTTTTGCTCCTGGAGCGTTGGCTTCATCTTTCCTCCATCTCAGTTCCTCCTCTGCCTCTCTCCTTCTCACAGGTCTCTCTCTTTAGGGGAAGAAAACCCCACAGCAGTGTTAAAGAGGCCTCAAGACTCGGTGCTGTGAGACAACGATCGGGTTTAACTTCTGCAAACTTTTCCTTTTTCCTTTTTTAAAGAGACCAAACGTACACACTGCTGTGCAAAAAGCTTGAGGCACCTCGATAAGAAGCAAACTAGTGAGAGAGCTGCTTAAAGTCTTATTGATGCTGTCAACGATAAGCCGCGCTGCTGAAGCATCAGCGCCTCTGTGTGAGCGCACTGTCACTGTCAAATCATCAGCAGCACTGGACGTTGTCACTCTGTCCTGTCTGCAGGAGACCAGTCTGCAAATTTAAGATTAGAAGACATTTCAGAAAGTAAAGCTATATACAGTATTATTATTATTACGACTGTTACTGTAGTTATTCTTATGGGTGCTGTGTGAAATTTAGGGTGACCACCTTTATTCTCAGGAATCCTTCTCCAGGCTTCCTGAATTCATTCAGAGCTCTTCTTTGTATGTTTCTGCCTTTTGTCATGTGATATGTGATTGTTGGGGTTTCTCAGTATCACTGTGGGGTTTTTCCTTGCAGTGTGAAACACCTCGAGGTTACTGTTGTTGTGATTTGGTGCTAAAGAAATACAACGATGATCTCACACTGCTTTGGAAATGCTGATGTTTCCTCTGAGGAGGCCGATCCATGACTGACGGTGTGTTTGGGATCGTTGTCGTGCTGAAAACTGAGACTCTGGCCAATCAGATGCTTTCCAGACTGCTGGTAACAAAGTGTCTGAAGATACAATTTAAACAGCTTCTTTGATTGGTCGTCTGTTACGTGTAAAAACGACACTGGTTCATGTGGGTGGGGTTTCTCCACTTCTATGCTCCATCACGGTGGAGGTTATACATGTAACAGTGGAGGGGCGGAGACAGAAAAACTGCTTCACATGCTTCGCTTTTGCATTTTATTAGTTGATTTCAGATATACGACTTCCTGTAATACCACAGATACATAATTATGTCCCTGTGGGGATGAACATGTATGATTATGTGTTTTTATGCAGTGTGTTCATGTGCCTGAATTTCATACACATTTCTACCTTTTTATACAATAAGACAATAAAGTTCTTTTGAATCTGAATTTGTGTATTTATTAAGAGAACAATCGTACAATTAATTATAAACACAAAGATTAGTTTATTTATATTTCTAGAATAATATTGAAAAGCTCTGAGACATATTAATCTAATTTGATTGACCCCACCTTGAAGTTGGACCTGTGGGCGGGGCTTGTCAGAGCCTCTTGTGGGTTTACCACACATAGTTAAGAGCACCACCCTTCTCTGGCTCCTGGAAGGTGCTCATAGTGGGGACCGGGCTGTGACTGGGAGGAACGACCTACCTGATCTCTGAGCGCTGGAGGTCGACGGCAGGAGGAGCAGAGTGCAGCTCGAGCAGCAGCTGAAGCAAAAATCTACCATCAGTCATTAGGTTGGTTTAAAGAGAATCGTGGATCCCAGCAGCAGGTGGGGCTCCATCAGTGAGGTCAGGTCACATTGTCATTGTTGTAGTTTGAAGTTTGTCTGCCCTCAGCACACATACTGTGTGTCTGTTGGGCCAGTAATATGTGTAATACTATAAAAGCTGAGTTTGTGAATGAGTCAGAATTTGTGGGTTTGTTGCTGATTTGAGTCCGAACTGCAGTTTAAACCTGGTGAGAAGAACAAAGAAAAGTAGAAAAAGAGCCTGAAAAACTCTTATCAGGGGATCTGCAGCTGCAGGTGAGGC